CAACATTTCTGTGCGTATGCCGTCTGCTCAGAAACAGCTACAACGTCAGCTGTAACAGTTAATATTGTCGGACCAGATCTTAATTCGTGCGCCTCTTGTCCGGCACCTGGGTTGAACCAGGCGAGAAACGGCTAGAAGGCGGATGACTTGCGAACCAGAAGGACACGACGGTCCTCTGATATGGCTATGAGAGTGCTATATTTGTTGATAAGTAATGTTGTAGACCATGATATGCGATACGCACTCTTTAAGTGCCGTAAGATTTCTAGTTTACGTTCACTCGCCCGATCACCTGATAAATGACTCATCAACAGGTGCGAACGGAAAATTAAAAGAAGAAAAAGCCACTGCTGTTCTAGTCAAGATGCTGAATCGGTTACCGGCATTTGTAAACATTTGCTTCATACTTCAGAATGCTGAACTGAAACGAATGAAAGTAAAGCACGTTGAAAAGGGCCTGAACGTCTTATCCAGAACTCTTCGTTGTTTGCTTACTCAAAGTTGTGTCGTTTTGTAGGCTTTCAATTTATTCAGACTTATCACTACAGACACAAACTGTCTGATTGGATACTTTCTGTAGTTTTTTAGTCTGATGTTCGTTAAGTTATGACGAAGAGATCGGTACAGTCCCAAGGACGAATCGCTGCAAGCAGCGTCGGCCTATTGAATTACCATCGACGCTCAACCGATGTACAGCAGCTGCAGCTGCAAATCCTTTGATCATCGAAAGTGGCCAAAAAACCACCAAAAAATAAACGAATGTCCATCACGAGCACTCCGATGGATGTGTGATGAATTTCGCTGACTGCCTCAAAACGTCAACAACAGCAATTCTTCGTTTCCTCAGGAAACGAAGTTCCCGTTGGTGCTTGAGTCAATAGCATTTAAGATCAGAGCGACGACGAATGGCTACTGGCGAAGAATAAGAGAATGCGTTCAAATTTAAGTCTGTCAAACATGTCGCAGCAATCTGAAATATTTTCGCATCGAGGCTTTTAATAACGCACTATTGTCAACCTCAGTGGATGATCCCCTGAAACTAATGAATTAATCGACCTTCGCATAAAATAACCCTTAAAAAATTCTGCCGGTGTAGGCGCTGTTGTTGCCGCACATAAGTGAATCAACGACGCATGATTTGTTTTAAAAAGTGCTTCCGACTGTAACAGTGAGCAATCCACTGACATGTAACATGAGCGGATAAATCAAACCGCATATAAACCCAACATTTGCTGTGAGATCACGCATCGCTCCGTAGTGCCAACAAGAAACCGCTGGAGAAAAACTGGCTGTATTTAAACTCGACAACGAAAATCTCCAGTGGACCAAGCCTCACAGAGCCGTCGTCACTTGGAACTCTTGGAATTCAGCCACGGTCACGAACAAAGCGACGTGTTGTAGTTCTGTCGAAGACGACTGGCATATGTGGATTCATGCCGTAAATATTCGCCAAGACCAAAAGGAATAAAAAGCAGAACAAACAAAGATGTCCCCCTCCCCTGTAACAACTCCCCCGGGCAAACTACGGCTTACAGTGACGACGTACGACTGACCGATGACCGATGGACCTTAGCAATGACGAATTCGTACACATGGGAATGTCAGCGCATAGCCGGAAGCAATCAGCTCAGATAAGACGATGAGCAAACAAACAGATATGAAAACTAGCGTCGGCATCGAAACTTGACAGTGGTGATGACCGTTAATTAACGACGAAGAATTATCGCCGTTGTCGCTGTCAGTAAACATAGCATTCAGCGATTACAAGTCTACAGTAAGAGTTCAACGGTAAACGGGCTGCAGTGGATCAAATTTTTAGAAAAGACCGTATTTCGATTTATTATTGTCAGTCAGTGGTCGATCGCCCCTTCATACCGTCACCTTTCGCCAATGATGGTCCATATTTAAACACTTTGATGCCACGCGCGGGCAGTCCGCAGTTCAAATTATTATTTCTAGTATTTTGTTCGAAGTCCATTTCATGATGAAAACAAGATTTATTGATAGTTCCATTCAAGCCGTAAAATGTTTGATATACATTCAAGGTCATAATTCAACTTAGAACTGAAAAATTCAACCTGGGTAAGAGCTTT